AGGGGGGTCGGGGTGTGTGACCCTGGGTGAAGAGGACCTGAAGGTACCAGGTGGGCGAAGGCTGAGCTCACTGAGGGGGGTCAGGGTGTGTGACCCTGGGAAAGGCCACTGAGCACCAGGGCTGGAGATGTGGTTCCTGGGCAGCGTGGGGAGCAGGTCCAGGGGCCCTGAGTGAACCCACTCACTGAGGGCGTTTGCCAGTAGGGATGGAGGCAAAGCCCTGCAGTGGTGATCTCAGTGCCGGTGTCTCGTCGGTGGAGCCAGAATGTGGTTTTATTAGGCAAGTGCTCAGAAGGTGAGGCTTGAAGTAAGCACCGCAGCCGATGGCTGTGCTTTTAAGTTCTGCCGTCGTTAGGTAAACCAATTTCAGAAGAACAGTTCAGCATCTTCGAGAACTCATTTCTGAGTCCCGCCTCCCCGTTTCTGTCCGAGGAGGATCGACTCCGCGTTGCTTAGATGTTAAGAAGATCGTTTCATGTGGAAAATGCCCCCGTAGCCCCCTGTTGTTTCAGTGATTGACAGCAATAGAGGAGACGCAGAGAAGTCCTCAGTCCGTCACGCTGGTTCTCTGCCCTCCCAGCTGCAGCCCAAACCTTGTTTTGTGTTGTTTGCTTGAAATACCAGTTTACGCTGAACAGGATAAGGGAAGCTGTGTGACACAGAAAGACGTCCAAGATTTGTTGTTAGGTGAAAAGAGTAAGTTTCCGAACAGGGTGCATGTTAAAATCCTAGTTTTATTTTAAAAATATTAGTGATAACATGTAATTTTATCTGCTTAAGAAAGAGAATACAGCTAACTGTTGTTGTGGGTCTGGGAGGGATTCATGTGGTCTGCATTTCACAGCCTCATATACAAAATAAGAATTTTTAAGGTGTTAATAATCGTGTACTGCTCTTATAATGACAAAAAACAACAGATTTATTTTTAAAAAAACTAAACTGATTTTTAAAATAACATTGTGCTCTCTGTACTGGTGAAGATGATCGGTAACTATGGCAACCTCATTTTAAGGCAAAAGGAGGTTACAGAAAAGTACTAGTCACATTTACTTTTTGGAGTCGACATTCTGGAAGTGACGTGGGTGGAATTAAGTGCACAGGATGGGGATGGAGGAAAGCTTTCACCGTCTGACCTCCATGCAGGAAAGCCCAGCAGTGGCCACTTCACCTGGCCACAGGTTTGTGCTGTTGAAACATGAGACGCTTGTCTCACTGCCTGTCGTTTGTGTAGGATTTGAACATTGGTGGGCAGCGTCATGCACTCTCTGCCCCCTGCTCAGTAGCACAGGCTCCTGTCATAGATGAGGACTGAGAGCCGGGTAGCTGCTGGCCCAGGGCACTCACTGCCGTGGAGCCACTGGGCTGGAGCCAGGCTGTCTAGGTCCACATCCTCACCCCAGGCTCCGAGCGGATTCTACGTTCTGTAGGAAACTTGGGGTTTCAGGCCCTTAGAGAAACCGGGGCGTCCTCCTACCCGTGTTTACTGAAGTCTTTAGTTCAATTGAACAAATTGAAACATATCAACTGTTCCTTTTACTTGATTTCTGTAACTTACTTAGCAGATACCGTCAGTATATGGTACGTACAGAAAGGTGTTCTAGGAGGATCGTGTTCAGAGACTGAGCCCACGTCTTGCCATGTTGAGGGGCCAGCCCTGAGCTGGCTGTTCCATACAGGCAGGACCCCTGTAACGGATGCGACCACGTGCCCTGAGAAGCCCTGTTCACACCTGCCAGCCCAGTGGGATTGTTCATAGCCCCCCTTTTACTCAGAAGCGTCCGGGTTTGGACAGTGAATTACCTGGGTGCCCTCTGTTAATTGTAGGGCCTCCTTCGGTACAGCTTCCAGAGTTCCCCGATGTTTCATTTATGCTGTCATTTGGAGGGATTTGGGTACTGAGTATCTCTTGGTTTTACCCAGTTCCTTTTAAATTTAACTCTTCGGTTGGTTGACATCCCGTGAGGGTAGGGACAGACAGTAGTGAGCTACGTGTTTTCACTTCGTCGCTGTTGGTTGTTACAGAGAGGGAAAGTGAGAAGGCAGTGAGGCCAGCCGAGCCGGGCGGGACCAGTGCTGCTGCTTCCTTGAGCTGGTCCTGCATCATAGTCCTGTGTCCATCTCCCCCCACACCCCGTCTGTCCGTTGGGCAGGGCTGTGTGGGGTGCGAGCTGTGGAAGCAAGTGTAGTTTTGCACGAGGGAGGTGTCTCAGCAGTCAAAGTCCAGGGGAAGTACAGACGGGGACAACCACTGGCAGGGCAGGGAGGGGGACACCTTGTAAATATAGATGGTGTCAACCACTGGTGGGGGGGGGTGCCTGGTAGATACAGACGGGGACAACCACTGGCAGTGCAGGGAGGGGGCGCCTGGTAAATACAGACGGGGACAGCCACTGGCCAGGAGGGCAGGAGGCGCCTGGTAAATACAGACGGGGACAGCCACTGTCCGGGCGGGGAGGGGGCGCCTGGTAAATACAGACGGGGACAGCCACTGTCCGGGCGGGGAGGGGGCGCCTGGTAAATACAGACGGGGACA